TTTATCCCTAGTCAATTCCTTACAGTTGGCACTATGAAGAAACTGTGGGGGAAGGGAGATATACAGAAATTAAAATTGATAAATGGGGCCCAGGGCCATGGGACACAGATGGCACCACCACTAGGAAGGCTAGAAGCTCAGTAGGAGGCCCAGGTTCAGTTTCTAGGCCAACATGCAGATTACAGTTGGACTTGCCTCTAGTTGTTGTAGCAAATTGGGAGGATCACTAATAGAGCAACCCTGTTCAAAAAAACCTATCTCTGTCTCTCTCCCTTTCTCTCCCCCAACTCCCTTTAATTACAAGGGAAAAGTGTGACAAGCAGCCAGGGATAAAAATTCCTAACTTTTGAGCTTCATATACCAAAAAAGACAAACAAATGTTTACTCCTTGCTAATGACATGGATCTTCATATATATCACACACTGCTCACAGGCAAACATGTCCAAATATTCCAACAGCATCTAGAATAGTTTAGGCCTGAAAACCAAGTTACAAAACATGTCAAAATAAAGGTAATTTTTGGCCTGAAAAAAAAAAAAAAAGACTTCTTAAAATGATAATGTAGTTATTTACTTTTCCCATGCTCTTTATACTTTTTCTTCAATCTTCTTTTCTAACACCACTACGATAACAAATGCATAAATTCATAGAAACAAGTGAAGTAATAAGACTCTGTTAATTCAATCACATTTACTGAGCTCTATCAACAAGCATTGTGCTAGGCATACAAAAATTAAACTGGGTCTTATATGAGACAAAGAATTAACCAAGTAACAGTATGATAGAAAAACTAATATAAATATGTACCAAATATAGAGACAATACAGAGGAAGAGAATTCAGGGAGAAAATATCACATAAATTAGATCTTTTTTGGGGGAAATGACAGCAGTACAAAATAGGTATTTTGGGGGGGGATTATTCTATGTATGGTAGCATACTGTTTAAAAAATAAAATTCAGGATTATACAGTCTTAAGTGAGAAAGCAGAGGAAAATAAAGATGAATCAGGTGAGTAAACACTCAGCTCATATTCATATAATGGATCAACTGAATTCTAAGCAAATGTTTATTTATATTTTTTATATATATATATATATATATACACACACATATATATATATAATATATATATACACACACACACACTCTATATAAATAAATGATATTTCACTTAATATTACCCAGCTTTATAAATGCTTCCATTTGTTTTTAGAATGCTTTCCAATTATACATATATAATGTATGCATATATGTATATAAAATGTATGGAGGTGAACATATATTATTTTTATATATGTATATTTATATGTATATAAAATGTATGGAGGTGAACATATATTAATATTTATATATATGTATACATATACGCATAGATGTATGGAGATAAATATATATTTACACATAACCTCAGAATAACCCATCACTGCATACATTTTTTTATAGGGCACTAAGTGACATAACCACAAAAATTTGTTTTTTCATGAAAAGATGGTTCAAACCCCAGACTACACCATACTAAATTCATACATACGTGACCTAATAAGAGTTCATCTAATTCTAAAATCTAATATAATCCTAACTTACTATTAGTAAGTCTACTACTGGCATGGCAAGTGCTTCCGCCTATTGTGAGTATAATAAGCAAAATGCTTATTTTAACATTTTGGCTATTTCACCTGTTCAAGTGCTTGGTCAAACTGGCAAAAGGACATGCAATGCTATGTGCAGTCAATAGCAAAGAACGAAGGTTCTTAAGTGTTATATAATATGCCTTTAAATCTTTAAAACTATTTAAAAGGCTAATCAACATGTAATATAGTATGGTTCTATTTATTGTAAGCATTTGACTGAAATATTAAGCAATTTCTGTGAAATGAAAAATTACTACCAAAAAAAATCATATGAAGTTAATTTTTCTACTATTTACGACCAAAAGCATTTTGTTTTCAAGTATATTTATATACTGCTTTTTTGTAACGTAAGATTTTTAAACATGAATTTGAAATAGTCTAAAATAGAAATGTTTTATCCGGTTCCAGTTCCTTCCTCATTTAGTTTGGCATTATTTTAGAAAAAAAAACTTACACATACTAAATCCTCCACTGAATCTTGATTAAATATTTATTCATAAACAACCTTTAGGAGTTATCTATTTCC